CAAAAATATATGCAAATATCAAATCATTATGTTGTACACTTGAAACTAATGTTATATGTCAATTATATCCTAATGAAGTTTTTTTTAATTGGGGAAAATTTTTATAAATGTAAATAAATGAAACTTTTTTTATTTCAAGTGCTATAGAATAATTTAGAACTAATCCATAAATAAAGATTACATGTTAACCAATAAGAATACTTACACAGTTGACTCCCTTTTCATTTTGCTGATGTTTTCTTTAGCCGTGCAGAAGCTTCTTATTTTGATAAGATCCCACTTGCTTATTCTTTCCTTTATGTCCCTTGCTTTAGGAGACATATCGGTGAAAAAACTGCTGCGTGGGGTATCTGAGAGTTTCCTGCCAATGTTCTCCTCTAGGACTTTGATGGTGTTGCAACTTATATTTAAGTCTTTTATCCATCTTGAGTTTATTTGTGTGTATGGTGTCAGCTGATGATCCAATTTCAATTTTTGGCATGTAGCCGTCCAGCTCTCCCAACACCATTCGTTGAAGAGGCTATTATGGCTCCATTTTATGCTTCTGGCCCCTTTGTCAAATACTAGATGCCCATAGAGACCTGGGCTTATTTCTGGGCTTTCTATTCTGTTCCACTGGTCTATGGGTCTGTTCTTGTGCCAGTACCAGATTGTTTTGAGTATAGTGGCTTTGTAGTATAGTTTGATGTCTGGTATTGTGATCTCTCCTACTTTATGTTTTATGTTTCTTTCTCAAAACTGCTGCAGCTATTCGGGGTCATTTAAGATTCCATATAAATTTTTGAAATGTCTGTTCTATTTCTGTGAAATACGTCATTGGTAAATATATTTGCTAATGATACATCAGTTAGAGGTTTGATCTCCAAGATATATACAGAACTCACTAGACTCCACTCCAAGAAGACAAATGATCCAATCAAAAAATGGGCAAAGGACCTGGGCAGACGCTTTTCCAAGGAAAGACACAGAGAGCCCAGAGACATTTGAAAGGATGCTCGGCATCACTAGCCATCAGAGAAATGCAGATAAAAACCACCATGAGGTACCACCTCACACCGGTCAGAATGGCCATCATAAACAGATCAACACACAACAGGTGCTGGCAAGGCTGTGGAGAAAAGGGAACCCTAGGACACTGTTGGTGGGAATGCAGACTGGTGCAGCCACTGTGGAAAGCAGTGTAGAATTTCCTCAAAAAGCTGAAAATGGAACTGCCTTTTGATCCAGCGATTCTACTGCTGGGACTATACCCTAAGAATCCTAAAACGCCAATTCGAAAGAACCTATGCACCCCAATGTTCATAGCAGCACAATTTACAATAGCCAAGTGTTGGAAGCAACCTAAATGCCCATCGGTAGATGACTGGATCAAAAAATTATGGTACATTTACACAATGGAATACTACGCAGCAGAAAGAAAAAAAGAACTACTAAACTTCGCAACAGCATGGATGGAACTGGAGAGCATTATGCTAAGTGAAATAAGCCAGGGGGCGAAAGACAAATACCATATGATCTCACCTGTAAGTGGAACCTAACCAACAATACAAAGATGCAAGGAAAATATGACCAGCAACACTGAAAGGAAAAGAAACCAACAGAGACAAGAGGAAAGGAGGCGGGGGCAGGGAAAGGGAAGGGAAGGGGAAAGTCAAGGAACAAATAGCAAGGACTCACGGACAAAACCAAAGGAGAAGAGCTGAGGGAGGGAAGAAGGGAGGGGGCAAGGGAAAGTGGTCGGGGGGAGGCAGAGACAAATGTATTTAAAAAAATAAAATAAAATAAAAGAGAGCTGGAAAAAAAAAACCGTGGTACATTTACAAAATGGAATACTACGCAGCAGAAAGAAGGAAAGAGCTACCTTTCTTCGCAACGGCATGGATGGAACTGGAGAGCATCTTGTTAAGTGAAATAAGCCAGGTGGTGAAAGACAAATACCATATGATCTCACCTATAAGGGGAACCCAATCAACAAAACAAACAAGCAAGAAAAATATAACCAGCAACATTGAAAGAAAAAACAAACTGACAGTAACAAGAGGGAAGGAGAGGGAGGGGCTAACAGAGAAAAGAAGGGGAAGGGTCAAATCAAGGAACATGTAAAAGAAAAAAAAGATGGAGGCTAGATAAACACGCTTTGTCTCCTCATGCAATGACAGAAAAATTACAACTAGACCTCAACACAAAAAACACCCAGCTGTGTCACTAAGAAAATCAAGCTCTATGGAAGTCCAACAACCAAGGATTTAAAGAAGCCATATTCATCCAGAGGGGGTAGAAAGGGCAGAGAGACAAAGATGGGTGGAGAGGCATAGAAATGAGCTGTGACAAGGACAAGTGGTGGCAGTGGCAGCCTCACATTCATGGATAAATATCAGGAGGGATACCTCGGGAGTGAGGGATCCCAGCCCCAGGCCAGACCACAGAGTACAGGGTTTCGATGCCAGGAGGATAAACCCCCAAAACATCTTGCAGTAAAAACCAGTAGGAGTCGGGATGGTGGAAGAAAACATGCCAGATGTTCAGGAGAGTCTGCTTAAAAGGCCTGCATGTACTTAGAACATACGCACACATACCCCTCTGGTATATAGCACAAGGGAAACCAATGGAAGGGCACCAGTCAAATATGAGGAGTAAGGGAAATGATTGGAAACAGGGCAAGTGTTGGGCAAACCTCCAGAAGCCAGGCAGCAGCATTGTCTCCCTCCACGACCTCCCCACACAGAGAGCCACAAAGCAGTCAAGTGTGTTGCCCTGCAATGGCAATGACCTAAGGTTTTGCTGCACACAAATTACAGGTACCTTTTCTACAATAGGCCATGCTGCTAAGACAGGGAGTCAAAGCAGCTCTACCTGACGCACAGACACAAAGACACGGTGACTGCCAAATTGAGGAGACAGAGAAATATGGCCCAAATGAAAGAACATAACAAAACCCCAGAAGAAGAACTAAACAAAATGGAGATAACTAACCTATCAGATGCAGAGTTCAAAACAGTAGTGATCAGAATGCTCAAAGAACTCTAAAGGAAACCAACAGTGAAGGGAATGATGACATTTTTCAAATCAACAATTTGAAACATAAGGAAGAAGCAAGCACTCAACCAGAAAAACAAGAAGAGGAAATAATTTTTTTTAAAATGAGGATAGGGTAAGGAGCCTCTGGGACATCTCCAAATGTACCAACATCTGAATCATAGAGAAGCCAGAAGGAGAAGTGGAAGAACAAGAAATTGAAAACTTATATGAAAAAATAATGAGAGAAATCTTCCCGAATATGGTGAAGGAAATAGACATACAAGTCCAAGAAGCACAGAGAATCCCAAACAAGATGGACACAAAGAGAACCACACCAAGATACATCGTAATCAAAGTGCCAAAGGTGAAAGATAAAGAGACAATCTTAAAAGCAGCAAGAGAAAAGAAAAGCAGACAATTAATTACCTACAAAGGAGTTCTTTTAAGACTGTCGGCCAATTTCTCTGAACTCTGCAGGTTACAAGGGACTGACAAGAAATATTCAAAGTGATGAAAAGCAAGGTCCTACAACCTAGATTACGCTATCCAGCAAAGTTATCATTTAGAATGAAAGGGCAGATGAAATGCTTCCCAGACAAGGTAAAGCTAAAGGAGTTCGTCATCGCCAAGCCATTACTACATGAAAAGTTAAAGGAACTTATTTAAGAAAAAGAAGATGATCAAAACTATGAGCATTAAAATGGCAACAAATTCACAACTATCAACAACTGAATCTAAAAAACAAACTAACCAAACAACCAGAACAAAAGCAGAATTACAGATACAGAGATCATTTGGAGGGCTATCAGCTGGGAGGGGTAAGGAGGAGAATGGGGGAAAAGGTGCAGGGGTTAAGAAGCATAATTTGTAGGTACAAAATAGACAGGGGGATATTAAGAACAGTACAGGAAATAGAGAAGCCAAAGAACTTATATGCATGACCCACTGACATGCATATAATATAAAAAGTGGGAATTGCTGGAGGGAATGGGGGTACCATGTGGAGTAGGACAAAGGGGGAAAAGCTGGGACAATTGTAACAGCATAATCAATAAAATATATTTTTAAAAGAATGTTAATAATTCACTGAAATATTTGTAATTATACTAGGTGAAAGGCAAAAGCAAAATTATATCTATGGTATGAGCATAATAATATAAAACAGGCATAGAAAAAAAGGCAGGGAATGAGGTCAAAAAGTGACTTAGCCAATTTTCTATTTTCTGATTTTCTGCATTTTTATTTTTTATATAATCTTTATTATATTTCTTTCTATTACCATTTACTTCCCTTATACCTCCCACACCTCACCAATCACCACACTGTTGTCCATTTTACATTTAAAATAACAAACCACATTTTACAACTGTCAAGGGGAAAAAACTGTATTCTTTAAATTTAAAAAGCCCCATACTCAAATATACCCCTTCTCCGCTAAATACCAAATAATGGGTAAGATTTACAACAATCCATCAGAGTAACTGAAAAAGGTGGGAGCAGTCCAGGAGTAGGAGTTTGGCCATGAAGGGTGTTGATAAGGGACACCCCGATTTCTGATTCAGAGTCCTAGGAAGCCTCCTAAGGACAGATGAAAGAGGCAGAGGCTGCAGGTGAGACATGGGGATTCATGGATAGACTATGAAGACCAACTGGCATAGGCATCAGTAACCCAGACAAAAAGAGTAAGAAACAGATGTCAGAATAGCCAATTGGAAACATTGGAAGAACAGAGAAACTTCCCCCTGAACCAGATTTGGTCTCAATGAGAGAGTGAGCACAAGTGGACGGGAAGTATGTCAGGTGAGGGCGCTGGCATCCTTACTCTGCCCCTGGGTCAGGCCTCTCAAACACCAGGTGTGGAAAGCCCAATTCTGTCCACCTTCCCTCTTGTGCCATTGGCTCTTCCACCCTGAGGTAGGACCCAGGTGGCTATCAGACCACAAAGCCCTTTCACAAAAGAAAATACAAAAAGTGAAACTCACCAGTCAAAGCCATTGTATTCATTTGAGGTCTCTATCCACACGAACAGCAAAACCACAGACATGAAAAATGCAATAACCAGAAATGGGTAAAATAATTGCTCTCTCTGGGAAGAGAAAAAAGGAAGTCAAATTTAACTCCACTTATCCGTTGCCTCAGCAGTACTTGCAATGAGGCCAGCCCCTGTGCCACCACTCGACCTTACCAGAGTTCTTCATTAGGGAAAATCAGGCCTTGGCCTGACCAATAATAAAGGAGCACCTTGTTTCTCACTGTCTGGTTTTGTTTTTGTGTTTTTTTTCTTCTCACAAGCATAGCCTCTTTGGGAAACTCACAATAAAGAGAAAATTAAGTATTCAGGCATCCTGTAATCCCTAGCCAAACACATTTAATTATACCCAACCTCATTTTTCTTCACGGTTCACTGAGTGAGTAAAAGCAAAAGTGAGTGAATGAATAAATGAATGATATAAAATAAGTAGTTAGGAAAAGGTAAAGTGAAGAATAAAAGTGAAAGAAAACAGGCACATGTGTCAGTAAGATTCACTTTGGCTCCAGAATTGCGGCAGACCTTTCATGGGAGAACTAGAGCCCAGGCACGCCCAGTTCAGGAGATACTGAGCCCCCATGGCGGCAGGGGCCAGCCCGTGTTCCCCACACCTCAGGAAGTGCGGTCCATATCCTCCCCATCTCTCTGTACCAAAGAGCAGCAGCAGGGGTCATATCTAGATTTTTTCTCCAGCTTGGTGTTACACTGGCAGCTGTAGCAGCCAGTAACGTAGGTGATGTAGCATTCGTGGTTGAAGATGCGTGCTATCCATGGCTTATGTTTTTTCTGTCTTGTCTTCTGGCTTTTTACCTCAATCCTGTTGACTTTCTTAAACATGATACACACTTTTGCTGGAACGACAAATAAAACAATGAGAATCTATTAGCTCCTTTAAATGTTTCCTACCCCACAATTCTACAAAAAAATCCATCACAAATAATTTTTTAAAAAATTTTAACCTAAGATAACTTTCAGGCAGTGCAGAAAACTAGAGCCTCATCCCACCTTCCCCACCAACTCGTTGAGTGTTCACTGCATCCTTTGTACCATTCAAGATGGGGTTTTCTCCCTTCCAAAACAGGATCATATTCTCTGTTCTAGACAACAGATGCTGAGAGCATCACATTATGCTTTTTAAACTGCAATATGCTCTTGCAATAACTTGAGAACTCAGAGGCACAGGCCACAATCCCTGACTAATACATGACTCTCCCACACTGCCCCACCCCGTCCCCTTCTCTCCTCTGCCATGTGGAACCAGTGAGGGTTAGGCTCAATTAGGAATGACAGAACATTCAAAATAGCAACAGTTGAAATAAGACAGGTTTATTTTTCCCTTTGCAGACAAACATTTCAAAGGTACAAAGAACAAATGATGTGGTATGTGGCTTCACAGTGCCTTTAGGAACCCAGACACTGGCCATCTTGCTGTGCCACAGCAGTGCAGGGCTTCCTTCTCAGGGTCCAAAAAACGGCTGCGCCAGCTAGATCCGTACTCCAACTCCAACTAGAAGGTAGGAAGAGGGAATGAAGAAGGGTGCTCCCCTGTATTTTAAGGACATGTACAGAAGCTGAACCTGACATTTCACTGGCAGGCAGGGGTTTTCTTACTAGTAAAAAAAGGAAAAACAGATACTTAGGGACATCTAGTTGTCACTACTGCATTTTCTCACCCCACTGCGATGGAAGCCTATTGTTCTCATACATAGGAACTTGTAGAAAATGTGTGAAATTTGGGGGGAGGTACAAATTATTTAAAAACAAACATGAATAGTCTTAAAGCACCTGATCCCAGACAATCATTTCCACCCCTGAAAACTTTGTGATACCTTACTTGTTTTTTGTGAAAGGTACTGTAGTAATGTAGTTAAGGGTGCGCAGTCTGAACGTCCACTTATGGCCAAAATGGAGAACGGGGATTGAAGTAACCCCCTCACCTAAGTGACTAAAAACTGCAGGAAATATGCAACAAACATTTCTAGACTGTGAACAATTGGCAATGATGAACAGAGTAATCCCTGAGAAGGGAAAAAAGGAATTGAGAATTATAAATGTCCCATTTACAATTAGTAAATATAGAGTTTCTAGGATGAAGCTCTGAGAGTCAAAAACAGGTGGTACTTGGCAGTATCCCTGAATTCAGTAGACAGAAGTGGGAGATTGTGGAAGTAACGGCTCCCCCAGTGCCTCCCCCTGGCTCTTTAATTGAATACTAATCAGCACATGCTTGTGATGAAATTATCTGAGGCGAAGGAAATAACTACACAAAAAGAGGTGGTGAGACAATCTCCAGGGCTCATGAAAGGCTGGGGATAGTTGATGTTTCCACCAGAGCAGAAAAGCCTTTAATTCACGGGACACTGTACAGCATTCGCAAAAGGGTACTGCCACAGCGGTGGGAAAAAGTAGGCCTACTTTAAAGGCTGCAATGGTCTGGCCTAGCAAAGCTTAAAGGTGAGCTTCAAAAGAATCAAAATGTTTCCAAGTAACACAGATCGAGAATACTTTTTAATACAAGAAGCAGCCAAAAAAGCAAAATTCACAATGCCTAGAATCCAATAATAAATTACTCGGCAGTGAAGAATTCGTGGTGGCAGTAGAGGAAGACCCTGGACTCACCTCCTCCCATGGACACAGCTTCATGGAATAATTTCCCTCTGAAAAGAACCTGAGTACTAGATAAACAATGCCTCCAAACAAAGGATAAAAGAGCCACACAGAGACAGGGAAGAGAGGCAGAGACTCATCTGGGACTCCACCCAAGATATGCGAACCCACAAGCGGCAGCCCCAAAATAAGGTACTTTCTTTGGAGGAGCAAAGGTACTGTGCCTCACATCAAGCACCTCAACCCCTAAGTCCAGCACCATAAAGACATGCCCACAGTATGTTTGGTCTTGAAAACCAATAGGAATTAAGTGCAGCGCAACCATAGAGCTATAAGGAATGGAAAACCAGATCTTAAAGTGCTCACATGCAGACCCACTCGCCCTTAGATACAGAGCAAGAGCAACGGTTTGAAAAACCCTAGACCATCTGTAAGAGAAACTCACTTACTTATCCTAGAGTGGCTACCAGAAACATAGGAACCTTCACGCATTTCCACCAGGGTCAGAAACACTGGCTGGAGCCATTTTTGCAATCTCATTCTAACTTGCTGGTAGTGGAGCTGGCAAGGGCCATCCTTGGTCCCCTCCCTGTAGCCTGCTAGCACCAGTGGACGTGCTCTATGCCCCATCCACACTGCACAGAAACGAAAAACCCACTATTAAAGGGCCAGCACAGCCCTGGCTGAGTAGCTCAGTTGGTTGGAATGTCGTCCTGTACAACAAAAGTTTGCAGATTGAATCCCCGGCCAGGGCACACACCTAGGCTGTAGGTTCAACCCCTGGTCAGGGCACATACAGGAGGCAATTGATGTTTCTCTCTCATATCGATGGATCTCCCTGTCTCTGTCTCTCTCTTTCTCAAATCAATAACATATCCTTGATTGAGGGTATAAAAAATAATTTTAAAAAATAGAGGGCCAGCACAGAGACCCACTCACTCTGTGATCAAGCACAAAAGCAAGAGTTTGATTAGCACATAGCTGATAAGTGAGGGAGACCCACTTACTAATTCTAAAATGCCTACCAAAGAGGAAGGTTCTTGTACAGAATTTCTTCAGGGTTGGAAATAATGCAGGTGCCATTTTTTCAATTTCATTCTAACTTGCTGGTGATGGAGGTGGTATGCATCATTTTTGTTATGCACCTGCTAGACTGCTAAAACCAATGGATGTGCTCTGTGACACTCCCAGCCACATACAACAGCCACGTCACAACTAGAATGGGCAACAGCCACACCGCAATCAGGCCAGGCAAATGCCCTGCAAGTAGCCCACCCAACACAGCAAACCCAGCCCTGCCACAGCCAGTGAGAATGAGCAGTCTGCATGAGGGATGCCCCTTGAGCACATTAGAGAGGTTCAACACCAGAATGCAAGAAGCAGAAGCAAGAATCGGTGAGCTGGAAGACAAAGCAGCAGCTCTCACCCAGAGAGAGAAGCAAACTGAAACAAGAATTTTAAAAAGAAAGGATACCTTAAGGGACCTCTAGAACAACATTAAGAAAAATAATATTCACATTACAAGGTTCCAGTAGGAAAAGAGAGATGGTCAGAAAAATTAGTTGAAGAAATTATGGCAGAAAAATTCCCTAATGTGGAAAAGGAAACAACACCTCCAGGTCACACAAATCCAGAGAGTCCCAATAAGATGTACCAAAGAGAATCACACCAAGATACATTATAATTAAAATGTTACATTTAAGGATAAAGAATCTTAAATGTAGCTATAGAAAAAGAATGTATTACATATAAGAGAAACTCCACAAGACTATCTTTAAGGAAAAACTTTCCAGGCTAGAGGGGGCTGTATGCTATATTCAAAACACTGAAAGGCAAAAATTTGTAACCAAGAATGCTTTACACAACGAAGTTATTCAGAATTGAAGGAGAGATAAAGAGGTTACGACACAAGCAAAAGCTAAAGGAGTTCATCCTCACTTTACAAAAAATGTTAAAAGACCTTTTTTAAGTGGAAAAAAAAGCCATAACAATAAATAAGGAAATATATGGGAAAAAATATCACTAGTAAAGGCAAATACACAGTAAAGGAAGTAGATTTATCACTTATAAGTCTAGTATGAAGGTTAAAAACAAAAGTTATAAGCTATAACTACAATAATTAATTAAGGGATATGAAAAATAAAATATGTAAATTATGATACCAAAAATATAAAGTGGGGTGGGGTGGGAGTAAAAATATAGTGCTTGTAAAATGCATTTGAATTTAAGCTAACATCAAATTAAAATGTACTGAGATTATATACATTTCTATTATGAACCTCAGAGTAATCACAAACCAAAAACATATAACAGATACAAAAAAAATAAAGGTATCCAAACATAACACTGAAGTCATCAAACCACAAGAGAGCAAGTGAGCAAGAAAAAAAGAGAACAATAAACAAAATGGCAATAAGTACACACCCATCAATAACTACTTTAAATATAAATGGACTAAATGTTCCAAACAAAAGACATAAGGTGGTGAATGGATAAAAAACAAGACCCATCTATATACTGCCTATAAGAGACCCACTTCAGATTTTAAGACACACAGAGACTGAAAGTAAAAGGATGTTTCCATGACAATGAAAAAAAAGGAAGTTGAGGTACCAATACTTTTATAGGATAAATTAGACTTTAAAACAAATACTGTAACAAAAGACAAAGAAAGGGATTAAATAATAATAAAGGAGTCAATCCAAGAAGAAGATATTTGTAAATATTTATGCACCCAACATAGGAATACTGAAATATATAAAGCAAATACTAACAGACATAAAGAGAGAAACTGACAGTAATACAACAATAGTAGGGGACTTTAATCCCCTGCTTATATGGATAGATAGATCAAGCAGACAGGAAATAAATAAACAATAGACTTAAAAGTTTCATTGAAGGAGATGGAAAATACACACACACACACACACATATACACACACACACACACAGAGAAAATTCCATCCCAAAACAGCAGAATACACATTCTTTGCAAGTGCACAAAATAAATCAATACTGAGTCACAAAACAAGTCTCAATAAATTTAGGAAAACCAAAATCATATCAAGTATCTTTTCTGATCATAATGATATAAAATTAGAAATCAATTACAAGAAAAAAATTGGAAAAAACACAAACATATGGAGACTAAACAAGATGCTACTAAACAACTAATGGATAAAAAAAGAAATGAAAAAGGAAATAAAAAATATCTTGAGACATAAAAATGGAAACACAACATTCAAAAAGCTCTGGGACACAGCGAAAGAAGCCCTGAGAGGGAAGTTCACAGAAATACACACCTTCCTCAAAAAACAAGAAAATCTGAAATAAACAATCTAACTTCATACCTAAAAAAACTAGAAAAATATAAACAAACAAAGCCCAAAGTTAGCAGAAGAAAAGAAACAATAAATATGAGAATGGAAATAATGATACAGAGACTAAAAAAATTTAGAAAAGATCAATAAAAGTAAGAGCTGGTTCTTTGGAAAGATAAACAAAATTGATAAACTCCTAGCCAGACTCATCAAGGCAAAAAGAGAGAGGTCCCCAAATAAATAAAATCAGAAATGAATTAAAAGTTACAACCAATACCAGAGTAATACAAAGAATCATTAAATACTACTAATAACAATTATAAAACAACACCTTGGACAACCTAGAAGAAATGGATAAACTCCTGGGAAAAAACAATCTTCCAAAATTGAATCATAAAGAAATAGAAAATCTGAATAGCAATGAAATGAATCAGTAATCAAAAAACTCCCTAAAAACAAAAGTCTAGGACCCTACAGCTTCACAGGTGAATCCTATCAAACATTTAAAGAAGTGTTAATATCTATCCTTCTCAAAATTTCCAGTCTTTGAAGAAAAAGGTACACTTCAAAAGCCATTTTACATGACTAGCTATATTTAGACACTCAAACCATACAAATACTATAAAAAAAAAGAGAGAATATTAGAGGCCAATATCCCTGATGAACATAGATGCAGAAATCCTCAACAAAATATTAGCAAATTAAATTCAACAATACATTAAAAGGATCATATATCGGGATCAATTGAAATTTGCTTCAGGAATGCAAGGATTCTTTAACATTCACAAAAAAAAATCCCCAATGATATATACTATATTAACAAAACAAGAGATAATCACAATCATCTCAATAGACGCAGAAAAGCATTTGACAAAATTAAACATCCATTTATGATAAAATCTCTCAACAAAGTACACATAGAGGAATTTAGCTCAACATAATAAAAGCTACATAAGACAATGATGAAAAGCTGAAAGCTTTTCTCTGGTCAAGGAGGTGGCATAGGTAAACACGGCTCTTATCCTTGCACAACCATAGCAAAAATTACAGTTAAACTACAAAACAACTCTTACCCAGAACCATCAGAAAATCAAACTGTATGAAAGTCTGACAACCAAGGAATTAAAGAAGTCATGTTCATTCAGATGGGTAGGAGGGGCGGAGGAGAGTGGAGACAATGAGGCACAGAGATACAGAAGGGCAGGTCCCACATCCATGTGTCGTGTATGAAAATCAGGAGAGAGAGCTTGGGAGCAAGGGATACCAGCCCCACACCAGACCATCCAGCCCAGCGTTCCAGTGTCCGGAAGATAAGTCCCTGTAACTTCTGGCTGTAAAAACCAGTGCAGGTTGAGCAGAAGAATAAACTGCAGGATTCTCTGGTCTCTCCTCTTAAAGGGTCCACAAAAGACTTAGGACTTAACTGAGACTCACTCTCTCTGGGCTTGAGCTTGAAAGGCACCAGTGGCATACGGGGAGAAAGTGAAGTGTCTGGCAACAGGGCGAGTGCCAGGGGACAACTTCCTCCTGAACAAAACTCCAGACGGCGGGAAGCAGCCACTGATCCTTTTCTAGAACCAACACAAGTTACACAGCCACAGGGCAGCGGCACCATATGTGAGACTCCAGCAATCAAGTTCAAACAGGTTGTCCTGCCCTAGCGTTTACTCAAGGTTCTTCCCCATCCAACTTAGAGGTGTGCCTTCCTACATTAGGCCACACAACTAAGACAGGGAGTTAAAGCAGCTCTACCTAATACATAGAAACAAACACAGGGAGGGTGCAAAAATGAGGAAACAAAGGCACATGGCCCAAATGAAAGAACAGAACAAAACTCCAGAAAAAGAACTAAACAAAATGGAGATAAGCAATCTGTCAGATACAGAGTTCAAAACACTGGTTATTAGGGTACTCAAGAAACTCAGTGGGTACTTCAACAGCATAAAAATTATGCAATCAGAAATGAAGGTTACATTGAGTGAAATGAAGAAAAATTTACAGGAATCCATAGTAGAGTGGATGAAGCAGAAAATCAAATCAATCATTTGGAACAAAGGAAGAAAAAAAAACATTAAATCAGAACAGCAAGAAGAGGAAATAATTTTTTAAAAATGAGGATAGGGTAAAGAGCCTCTGGGACATCTCCAAATGTACCAACATCTGAATCATAGAGAAGCCAGAAGGAGAAGTAGAAGAATAAGAAATTGAAAACTTATTCTTAAAAAAAAAAAGAAAAGTTCCCTAATATGCTGAAGGAAATAGACATAGAAGTCTAGGAAGCGCAGAGTCCCAAACAAGATGGACACAAAGAGAACCATACCAAGACACATCATAATCAAAGTGCCAAAGGTTAAATATAAAGAGAGAATCTTAAAAGCAGCAAGAGAGAAGCAGATAGTTACTTACAAAGAAGTTCTCATAAGACTATCGGCCGATTTCCCTAAAGAAACTCCGCAGGTTACAAGGGACTGACAAGAAGTATTCAAAATGATGAAAAGCAAGGACCTACAACCTAGATGACTCTATCCAGCAAAGCTATCATTTAGAATGAAAGGGCAGATGAAGTGCTTCCCAGACAAGGTAAAGCTAAAGGAGTTCGTCATCATCAAGCCATTATTACATGAAATGTTAAAGGGGATTATTTAAGAAAAAGAAGATCAAAAGTATCAGCATTAAAAAATGGCAACAAATTCACAACTATCAACAACTGAATCTATAAAATGAACTAAGCAAACGAGCAGAACAGAAGTTGAATCATAGATATGGAGATCATTTGGATGGTTACCAGTTAGGAGGGGGAACGGGAGCATGAGGGAAAAGGTGCAGGGATTAAGAAGCAAACTTGGTAGGTACAGAATACGCAGGGGAATATTAAAAACACTATAGGAAATGGAGTAGCCAAAGAACTTACATGCATGACCCAAGGACTAGAACTAAGGCGGGGGGAGGCTGCCAGAAGGAATGGGGGTGCTGGGTGGAGGGTAGCAAAGGGGGAAAATGGGGACAACTGTAATAGCATAATCAATAAGATATATTTTTTAAAGAAGAAATCTTGGGAAAAAAGAAAAGCTAAAAGCTTTTCCTTTAAGATCATGAACAAGACAAGGATGCCTACTCTCACCTCTTTTATTCAACCTTGTATTTAAAGACCTAGCCACAATAATTAGGGGAAAAAAATAAAAGCATCCAAATCTGAATGAAAGAAGTAAAGCTGTCACTGTTTGCAGATGACATGATACCATAAACAGAAAACCACCAAAAAACTATTAGGAAAAAAAAGAATTCAGTAATGTTACAGGATACAAAATTAACATACAGATATCTGTTGCATTGCTTTATACTAATAATGAACTGTTAGAAAAAGAAACTGAGAAAACAATCCCATTTACAATCACATTGAAAAGAATAAATACTTACAAATAATTTAATCGATGAAGTAAAAGACCTGTATACTGAAAACTATAAGACGTTGATGAAAGAAATTAAGGATGACACTAATAAATGGAAAGATATATCATGCTGGATACACCATGGACTGGAAGCATTAATTATTTTTACATGTCCAAGTTACCGAAAGCAATCTATGGATTCAATGCAATCCCTATCAAAATTCCAATGGCATTTTTCAAAGATTTAGAACAAAGAATTCTAAATTTGTATGGACCACAAAAGACCTCAAATATCAAAGCAATCCTGGGAAAGAAGAACCAAGCTGGAGGTATCACATTCCTGATTTCAAAATACAATACAGTGCTATAGTAATCAAAACAATATAGTACTGGCACAAAAACTGACACACAGATATCAAAGTAATGGAAGAGGGAAACAAGAAAAAAATCCAAATTATGTCATCAATTAATCTATGACAAAGAAGGCAAGATTATACAATAGGGAAAACACAATCTCTTCAATAGATGGTGTTGGGAAAACTACAGCTACATGCCAAAAAAAAAAAAAAGAAACTGGACCACTATCTTACACCATATACAAAACAAACTCAAAATGAATTAAAGACTTAAATGTAAAACCTGAAACCATAAAGTTTCCTAAAAGAAACATAGGCAGTAGCTCTTTGACATCAATCTTAGGAATATGTTTTTGGCCAGTTTCCTCAGGTAAGGAGAATGAAAACAAAAATAAATGAATGGAACTACATCAAACCAAAAAGCTTCTGCACATCAAAAAAAAAAAAAAAGGCAATCTACTAAATGGGAAAAGGCATTTGCAAAGTATGTATCTCATGGGGGTTCATATCCAAAAGACATAAAGAAGTCATACAACTCAGTATCAAAAAACAATGTGATTAAGAAATGGGCAAAGGACTTGAATAGACATTTTTCCAAAGAACACATACAGGTGGTCAATTGGTACATGAAAAGACCCTCAATATCACTAATCATAAGTGAAGTGCAAATCAAAAGTGCAATGAGATACTACCTGACATCTGTCACAATGGCTATTATCAAAAAGACAAAAACCCACAAATTTTGGCAAGGATGTGGAGAAAAGAGAACCCTTGGCCCCTATTGGAGGGAATGTAAACCGGTTCAACCATGATGAAAAACAGTATGGAGATTCCTCAAAAACATTTAAAGTGGAACAACCATATGATCCAGCAATTCCACTTCTGGGTATTTTATTTGAAGACAATGAAAACACTAATATAAAAAGATACAGACACCCCTACATTCACTGCAACATTATTTACAATAGCGAAGATATGGAAGCAACCTAAGTTTCCATTGGTTGTTCAATGGATAAATAGTATGTGGTACATATACACAATGTACTATTACTCATCCATAGAGAGAATGTTACACACCTTTAAAGAACTTAAAAAAACACAAAACATGTTAACCTAGAATTCAACACTCAGCAAAAATATTTTTAAAAAATAAAGGTGAAATGAGACCTTTTCAGATATTCAAAACTGAAAGAATTAATCCCCAGGTGACTTATATTACCAGAAATATTAAAGAAAGTCACTCAATATGAAGGAAAAAGTTACCAGGTAGGAATGGCATCTATATAAAGACATGAGGTACAGTGGAAACATTAAATATGTGAGTGGATGTAAAATAACGATTTTATTATTTATAAAATCACTTCAGAAGATAGAAGTCTGATGCAAAAACAACAATGAATACTGCGGCTTATGACAATTGTAAAAGTAAGATATGTGACAACAGTTCAAAGACAAGGAGCAGGGAAATGAATGCGTGTTTTTGTACTTACATGAACTGGTATTAAATTACTTGAAGGTATATTCTGATAAGTTAAAGTAACCTCTGGGAAAGGGTGTATGTATATAATAAGCCAACAAAGGAGATAAAAAGAAATTATAAGTATTACTCAATCCAAAATAAAACAAGAAAAAAGTGAAAAAGGAACAATAACAGAACAAAAAGAAATCAAATAATAAATGCCAGATTTACACCTAAATATATCAGTAATCCCTTTCAACATAAATGGACTAAGTGGTCCAGTTAAAAGAAAAAACAAAAATTGTCTAACTGGATTAAAATGATAAAACCTACCATGTACTCCTTACAAGAAGTTGATTTAAGATAGAAGATAAAAGAATGGAAAAAGAGACATATCTTGTATGTGATATTTATCAATGTTACATTACCAGGATAATGCCATGTACCAACCAAAGACAAATCCTCACACACAAAAATAAGCATTTACGGTTTACATATCTGAGCTGAACAATCACCATATTTTGCCATGTAAAATGTGCACCCACATTTTTGGCCCAAACTTTCAGGAAAAAAATGTTTTAATTTTTAAATTCAATTTTTATTTATATTTAGATACTTGTTTTTTGTATTATAAAGGAATTTTAGCATTTTTTAACATATTATGATACAAGATATTTTATGTAACAAATAATGACAAAACACAAGAACAGCTACAAGGTATTCCAGGTAACATGTATCCATGTATAATACACATCCTTATTTTTCCTTCAAAAATTTGGGCAAAAAAGTATGCATTATACTTGGCAAAATACAGTACCTGTTCTGCTGATCTAGACTGGGCTCACCCAGTATAACTGGGGTGACCTAGCAACCAGATTAGAGCATATTCTCATGGAGACGGAAAATGTCCAAGAAAACAAGTTCCTATGTGCAAGCCCATTTACAGATGCTACTTCAAGGGATGTCGTGAAGTCAAAGGCAAAAGCAGAGCTGGTCAAGTCATGATAGGAGAGCATTATAAAGTTACATGGCAAAGTTTAGAACACAAAAGGTGTACTAAAGGAAGGGTGAGAGTGGAGCCATACCTCACTGTATTACCAGCAGTTTGAAAAACTTTGAGGGGAAAAAGCATTAGTAGAGACAAAGAGGTACATTCATAATGATGAAAATGATTTTTTGTGAAAAGAAGAATTTTCAATTTATAGCACTCAATCCACATAGTCTCTCTATGGAGAAAAAGACAAATCCACAATCATGGTGGGAGATTTAGCACACCTTTCTCAATAAATGATAAACAGACAAAAAGTCTGTAAAAATATAGAAAATTATTTTGTTTCCCTTGTCTCAGGAAATATATCAGGTAAAATACTGCTATAAGCAATGTCTGGTATTTTACTGCCTATGTTTTCTTCTGGGATTTTTATGGTTTTGAGTCTAACATTTGTTTTTAATCCATTTTTAATTTATTCTTGTATGTGGCGTAAGAAGGCGGTCTAGTTTCATTTTTCTGCATGTAACTGTCCAATTTTCCCAACACCATTTATTGAATAAACTCACTTTAGCCCACTGTACTTGCTTCCTCTGTCAAATACCAATTGACTATAAAGGCACGTGTATGTTTCTGAGTTCTCTATTCTGTTCCACTGATCTATGTGTCTGTTTTTACGCCAGTTTTGTGCTTACTGTGGCCTTATAGTATAGTTTCATATTAGGTAGCATGATTCTTCCAACTTTGTTCTTCTTTCTCAAGATCACTGTTGCTATGCAGGGCCTTCTGTGGTTCCATAAAATTTTTAAAATATTTGTTCTAGTTCCATGAAATATATCATTGGTATCTTGATTGGAATTGCACAGAATCTATAGATTGCTTTGGGCAGAATATACATTTTAAAGATGTTAATGCTTCCTACCCATGAACAGAAAAAGAAAAACGGGACTACATCAAACTAAAGTTTTTGCACAGCAAAGGAAACAACAAAATAAAAAAGACAACCCACTGAATGGGAGAACATATTTGCCAATATATCTGACAAACAGGGTTAATATCTAAAATTTATAAAGAACTTTATTGTTTGGATAAATTTCCAAACAATACCAAATTGTTTGGGTTTTTTATACCAAAAAACCCCCAAACAATCCAATTCAAAAAGTGGGCAAAGGACTTGAATAGATCTTTCTCCAAAGAGGACATAGAGATGGCCAATAGACATATGAAAAGATGCTCAATGTCACTAATCATCAGAGAAAGCAAATTAAAAGCACCATGAGATTATTACCTCACACTGGTCAGAATGGCTATCATCAATAAACCAACAAGCAACAAGTGCTAGTGAGGCTGTGGAAAAAGGGGAACCCTTTTGCACTATTCGTGGGAATGCAGACTGGTGCAGCCACTGTGGAAAGCAATATGGAGATGCCTCAAAAAATTAAAAATGGAACTGCCTTATGACCCAGCGATTCCATTTCTAGGAATATATCCAAATAAACCTGAAAACAGTAATTGGAGAGAATATAACCTTAACCCTATGTTCACTGCAGCATTATTTACAATCTCCAAGATATGGAAGAAGCCCACGTGTCCATCAGCAGATGAGTGGATAAAACAACTATGGGACTCAGCCATAAAAAGAAGAAAATTTTACCTTTTGCAACAGCATGGATGGACCTGGAGAACATTATGCTAATTGAAATAAGCCAGTCAGAGAAAGACAAATACCATATGATTTCACTCATATGTGGACTCTAATGACCAAACTGAATTAACAAGCAAAATAGACAGACTCAGAGAGGGAGAGCAGGCTGACGGCTCTGAGGGTGAGGGGTGGTTAGTGGGTGGAGGGATCAAGCAAAAAAAAAAAAAGGATTTGAGGACATACGCAACAGTTTGATAATTGTTGGTTGGAGGGGAGTATAAGAGGGAGAAATGGTAACAGAAAAATACAATTAAAATATAAATTTTAAAAAGATATAGAAGATTCTAACAATCTGATTAACAAACTAATCTAATTAACAATTATAAAACACTGCACTCGATGACTATGGAATGTACATTCTTTTTAGTCGAAATGCAATATTTACCAAAAATGATGATGTACTGAGTCACACAAGTAGTTTTAATAAATTTCTAAGAATTGAAATCTTAAGAGTATATTTGTACTACATTGCAATTATAGCAGAAATCCATAAGAAGAAGAAAACTAGAAAATTCCACATTTGGAAATTAGACACCATTATTTTAAAACATTTTATTTTACAGTTTACATTAACTATTACATTCGTTTCAGTACAGCACAGTGCTTAGACATTTCTATAACTTCAGTGACCACACAGATAAGTCTAGTACCCCCATGGCAGCATACTTAGTTATTACAATACTATTGACTATTTTCCCTGCTTTGTACTTCACATCCCTGGGACTACTGTGTAACTGTCCATTTGTATTTCTTAATCCTTTCACCTTTTTCATTCAACTCCCCAACCCTCTCCCATCAGGCAACTATCAGTTTGTCCTCTGTATCTATGAGTCTGTGTGTTTTGTTTATTTATTTTATTTTTTAGAGTCCACATATAAATGAAAACATATGCTATTTGTATTTTTCTGACTTATTTCACTTAGCATGATATCCTTTAGCTCCATCCATTTGGCATAAATGGTAACATATTCTTTATTATGGCCAAATAATATCACATCTTCTTTATCCAATTGTTTATTAGTGGGCACTTGGATTGCTTCCACATCTTGGCTATTGCAAGTAATGCTGCAGTGAACACAGGGATGCATATACCTTTTTGAATTAGTGTTTTGTATTTCTTCTGATAAATACCCAGAAGAGGAATTGCTGATTTATACGGTAGCTCAATTTTTAATTTTATGAGGAACCTCCATACATAAACACCATATATTTTAAAACCCATGAGTCAAAGAAAAATAAGCACAATGGGAATGAGACAAAAGTTTGAACTACTTGATGATGTACAAGTAGTTACACGAACTTGGCGTTTATGTTGCAAATATCGGATTATCCAAGAAAGATGTTTTGAACAAACGCTCTGTGACTGCGAGGATGGTAAACGGCCCGAATACTGAATAAAAGGCGGCATGTTAACCAGAATCATTACCACAACCACCGCCCCCGGATCTACGGGTCCTTTACCTTTGACTCCACCAGCCACGGTAGCAAGGTCCACACTGCAAATTCAATCGCGTTTACGTCAAAGTCAATCAACAGCTGCCCTGCCAGACCTCTTCTCGGATGTCCCAACCCACATATCCGACAGCCTACTGCGATTTCCACTTGCATTTCTCACAGGCACCTCGAATTTCATTTGTCCAAAACCCAATCCTTGATCTTCCCTCCAAGACCCACTTCCCCGCCAGTACCTCCCACGCCAGGAAAGGGCCAAAGGGCACCACTGCTCACCCACCTGCCTGATCAAAAACTGGGGCGTGCCTGTCAGGATGCAGGCACCAGAACAAGACTCGGCCTCCCGCCATCAACCCCCAGAAACCGCGCAGAATGCATTCAACACCTATTTCCAGACGTTGAACAACACGCCGCGTTGGGCTGAGGGCACGGAGCCGAGCCTTCACACCTGCGAGGACTTCAGGACAAGCCGGCCCGCAGGCCAGCCCTGGGTCTGCGGGCCTTGGGGACGTTGCCCCCCGGGCGACCCGCACCGGCGGAAGCCCTTCGGGCTCAGCTTCCCCCAGGAGCCCTGCAGGTAAGGGCCACTCCGGGTTCAGCTGACCTAGTGAGCTGACTGGCCCAAGGGCCCTGGCTTTGGCTGCCAACCGGTAATATTCATAAAGCTCCTGTTGCGGGAGATGCTTCGGCGGGAAGCCCGGAGCTGGACGCGTTACTTACGGGGACTCCACAGCCCGAGCCCAAATCTGGATTTCGCACTGGCGCAGACCAGCGTCTCTCAAGATGGAGGCCGGGCTCCAGGACGCGCCTGAAGGGGTGGGGCGGGCGTGGCTGGGCGTGGCAGGGGCGTGGCCTCTGGTGCGCCCCCAGGTTCCCGGGGACAGAATTCAAAACCCAACGCCAACCACGGCATGAAGCGGTACTTTTGAACTGCGCCTTTTAGGGTATGCCTTCTGTTTTGGTTCGTATGAAAATAACTGTAAAATTAGTTCTTGTTCATCATTAAATTCAGGAGTTACTTTTTGTAGCCTGGTTGTTCACAGATTACCTCTCTTAGCATTTTTTCTGTTTTTTTCCCTAACCTGCTTCAAACAATGGGTTTGTTTTAGCTTCGTTTAATCATTGATTCCTCAGTTTCTCTAGCTCTGACCTCAACTCTGAGCTCTAGACCCTTATATCCAGCTGCCTGGGATCTTAACAGATGGTTGAGCGCAGACACAACCTTGTAGGGTGTGCTGGGCAGAATTCTAAGATGGCACCTTGATTTCACCCTAATAAGAGGCTGGGCAGAAAAATCAAGCCATGCTATGCTCAGAGCTCTGACATATTGAAACTCTGAGATAATTTATGTTATTTTAGGCCATAATATTTGTGGTAATTCATGTGCCAGTAGAAAACTAACACACAGGATATAGATATGTTCAGTACTAATATAAAATTAGACAAGCAACAATTGCCTATGAGTAGAGTTTCAGAATTCTCTTGCCTCCATTGTGCTGCAGACATTAAAAGGCATGGAAATGTGCTGTTAAGCTGCCTAAGCATGAAGGATGTTCCATGATCTGAGTGGATGTCTAGATATCCCAGCAGTAAAGTCATCCCTATGAGGCTCAAATTAAGTGTTGGAAAGTTCACAGGTCCACCAATGCTTCTTTTTTAACATCCAACTAATCAACAACTCTAAGATTGCAGAGGGGCAATCGGCTAACCTCAGGCCTCGTCAGACTAACCAGTTTACCACTGCAATTTCAAAGTGAGGAGGTACAGTCTTTGGATTCTCATCACTTTCATACCACCATCTAACTTTCCTTCTGTCTTACACATAACAAATCCAACTGTACTTGTTATTTCAGTAACTGCATGGAGGATCTCCTGTACTTTTGTGTTTTTTCCCCCACAAAACAGTATTGGGAGGGCACCAATCTTAATACATTGGCTCCTTGACCTAAAAGCCATAACCACATAGCATTAGGACCGTCAGCTCACTTAGTTACCTTCTTCACGTGAAGGTGGGGTTGGGGAGCATGACAGTTAACTTCATGTGTCAGTTTGACTGGGCCATGGGATGCCCAGTTTCTGGTGAAACATTATTTCTAGGTGTGTTTGTAGGATGTTTCCAGAAGAGATTGGCATTTAATTTGGTCAACTGAGTAAAGCAGATGGTCCTCTCTGATGTGGGTGAGCATCACCCAGTTACTTGGGGGCCTGAAAAGAACAAAAAGGTGAAGGAAGGTTGCTTTCTGCCTGACTATTGAGCTGGGACATTGAACTTCCGCCCTTGGAGATCCTGGTTCTTAAACATCAAACTTTGACTGAAATCTACACCACTGGCTCTCTGGCTGTCAGACTTCCAAATTATACCACTGGCTTTACTGGGCCCCCGACTTTCAGACACAGATCATGGGACTTCTCCAGCTCCATAATTGCTTGAGCCCATACCTTATATAAACATTTTGGCCCATTTCTCTTAATTTATATCTAAAATGAAAGTGTTAAAGAATATACATTGACATATGTAAGGGTAAAGGGGCATTTTATCTGCACCTAACCTCAAATGGTATGAGAAGAAAAATATGTATTTTATAATTTTTTCTTAAGTTTCCTTAAGTTTGAGATTATTTTAAAATAAAAAAAAAACAGGAAATAAAGAAAGGAAGAGAGGGAAGGAAGGAAGAGAGAAAGGCATATACTCCAAGTAGGGTATTTTCATGTCCTTTTATTGAAGGAAATAAAACTTGTGCTGCAGAGGCAGTGATACCTCAGAGCATGACAGGGTAGCCAATGGGGCTGACATGATAAGCCACAATGCTGGCCAGGGGTCCTACCACAGTGGAAAGACCAAAAAACACAAAGATAGCAGGAGGTAGCAAACATCCCAAACACCCAGTGCAAGAATTTCCATTTGCAGAGAGCTAGGCCATGCATTGTGAAAACAGGGTCCCCTCATAATTGGCAGATATCATCTCAAGCCACCAAATCCATCCAAAGCTAACATGTAGTCTCAGATTTGGAGATCCTTCCCTTTGACCCAAAGAGTCTGGCCATCAGAAGATCTGTTAATCTTTTAGCTCCTTACCTCAAACTGAGAAAGAGACTGTTTTTAAAATATCACATAGATATAGCTGGACAGGTCCTGGTGTCCAGCCTTGTTCTAAAAGCAGCTAAATTTTTTTTTTCCTGACTTTTCACGTTTTCACCCAGTATATGCCGTAGGAAATTTCTCAATGTTCTAAACAAGGACAGAATGGGGGTAGCAGCCTAGGGGATGCAGGGAGTCAAAAGCTGCTACATAGCCAAGACCATTTCACAAGAAATAGCATGGGGAGCACTACTAGGTCAAGGTCCTCCCAAACAGCTGCTAGAAGTACACACAAAGAAAAGCATGGTAGCTCTCTCTCCCATATCAGGATCAGTTGTGCCATAGTGGTTCAGGAAATTGAGGCATTTCATGTCCCTGACAGATTACCAACCACCATGTCATTCCTCAAGCTGTTCCAATTTTCAAGTACAATAAGGTGTTTAGGCAGTTCAGTCATAGAAAATCAAGCATTAAAGAAACTTCAACCAATTACAAACTGATAATGTTATAAAGCCAAAAATTTATATAGCCAAAACCTGATTGGCTGGGGTTTTGGGGAGGTGGTATGTGGGTACAATTTTGCTACATAGAAATAGGAGTCCAAGAGTTTATTCATATAAGCCCTGATCACAAACCACCTTCACATCCACAAATTAGGAGGAAATTCCTTATTTAGATGGCCATCATCTGATTAGTCAGTTTCAGTTCTCTTCAATGCTGGGCACATGGTTTTCAAAGATCAAAGTCTTGACAGCACTAGACCAGGAAATGGGAGGAGCAAGGCAAGGAAGAGAGAGCATTAGGGGCTGGAATTTCTGAAATGAGCATTAATTTCACAGAAGGCTTGGCACAATGAGGCTGGGGTGAGCGTGGTTTTAGTGATTGTTCTTGGTTGCCTCTTTTGCCGCAGCAATGAGTGGAGTGAGGCTGGAGAGGGGCTTGGCAATCTTCAGGAACTGATGCTAGAAAAGAAAAAAAAAAAGCAAAATACACATTACTATTTACCATTCTTCCTCAGCAACCATTATTACAAGATGTTAAGGGCATCATTTTTTGCATAAGATGCTACCTGTAGAGTTTCAGATCATCCCCAAATTAAGAGACATCTGGCCAGTGTGGCTCAGTTGGTTGAGCATTGTCCATGGACTGAAGGGCCACGGGTTGGATTCCTAGTCAGGGCACATGCCTAGGTTGTGGGTTCAGTCCCAGTTGAGACATGTACAAGAGGCAACTGATCAGTTTCTTTCTCACATTGATGTTTCTCTCCCACTATCTCTCCCTCCCTTCCCCTCTCTAAAATCAATGAGCATGTCTTTGCATCATGAGGTTTAAAAAAGAAAACAAACCATGCAGGAAAACTGTTTGGCAGCATTTACCTTCAACTAAACACTATCCATCCTATATCCCAGCAATTTCACTCGTAGGTATATTTTCAAGAGAAAGGATTTTGTGTATCCACCAAAAGATAACACAGCAGAATGTTCATAGCAGCTTTACTTATAATAGTCATAACTAAAAAGAACCCAAGTGTCCAAGAGAAGAATGAATAATGTTATAGTCATAAAATACTACAGAAAATTACACAGAAATAAAAGTAATAAATAACTGATACACTGACAATAAGATGAATCCCACAAACATTATGTTGAGTGAAAGAACCCAGATACAAGAAAGAGTTCATATTATATTAGGTAAGACTAAACCAGTGATAATTAGAATAATAATTACTTCTGGGGGAAGGTACTGACTAATCATGACTCAATGATATATAGCAATACTGCACTTCGGGAGCATTAATCTCATAATTCGTTGTGCTATCCTTGAATTCAGTTAGGCTAATTAATTCAGTAAAAACTTGGTAAATAGCCTGGTCCTTTCCCAAATCATTTTCACTGGACTGTACTTTAGGCCATACCCACAACTATTACAGAAGACCACTGTGGAGAAAATATATGAAAACTGCGTCTATACTTTCAGTAAAACTGTTATAAAAAAATAATTCTTTATGTAACTCAAAGCTTCCTAACTAAAAATGATTTTTCTTATACTTAAGTAACAAAAAGTCTTTGTGTTTTAA